CTCAAGTGGTTTCAATAGTACAACATTCATGGATCACTACCAGTCTCACCACTCCAAGCACGATAAGGTTGTCGAAGAATCCACTGGTTAACACAGTCCCTTATAAAGTCTCCATTTGCCCAGTATTTCGCTGCCGACAGATAGCTGAGATTGTTGATTGACTTGTTCTATCTTTTCTTGGTTAGGGCTCTGAGTCCGGCATCTCGACTGGGGAGATCCCCAAAGAAATTTTGAGGTATTCCCATCGCCCTGATCAGCTGGTGGTTGCAGTTGCTGGGTCGGTTCTGTCTCCTTCCATGTCTTCCACTGGAACCAATGGGTGTTGCAGTCCAGCCAGGTTCTGCCCAGCACACACTTGGCCACTCTGTGAGTTTTGAGTGATTGATTTTATGTTGGTTTCTTCAGTTTATTTTGTCTTTCAGAAATAGCATACTGACTCAGATTATAAGTTACATGTTCCTTCTGTAAAAGAGTTAGTAAATATGAAGAACGTAGAATATAAACATCATATGTATCTTCCTAGTTAGCTGGAAATATTAACTTCTTGTACATAGGCTTCTAGGTTTTTCCTAAATATAGATACACACTGTACTTTTTACTACACAGATTGGGATCACTCATTTATACATGGTTTGCAAATAAATGTCAGGAGATCAAAGTTTTTATCAATTTCCTTTTCCTGTTCTTTTGCAGTCTACTCTTGTTTTATTTTCATCCAATCCCTATGTAGCTGGTTCCTTGTTTTTGAAGCCTTAGCTCACCTAGCACACAATTTTTAACAGGTTATTAAGCATTTCTAAATTACACAATTGGCCAAAGGGAAGAAATTCCTCCGGGATCTGGGACTAATAAATGATGTTATAATACAATATTCACAGATTCAAACAGATTATGTGTGCTCATTCAGATGTTAACCCTGCATGCCCAAATATCCAATTCTGGCATCCTCTGGGGAGAGGACGGATTCAGGCTGAGATGGAAGCTCCAGCCCCTTACAGGGTCTTTTTTTTCTTAAGGGAATTCTGCCTACCTTGGTTGTGGCATTACCTACTTCCTGAGTTTCATCTACCTCCGCAGAATACAGCCTCACAAGTGTTGTCTTTGGTGATAAAAATTGAAATAGTGCCTAACAATGTTATGTGTATGCACAAGTGTGAAAGTGCAAATGTGTATATGCAGGTGTGTGCATGCCTAAGTGTGTGGCACATACATGTGCATTTATGTGTGCTGTTTTGACTAGAAAGGGATACAGACAAGTCTTGTACAACACGTGATAGGTACCATAGTCATATGGGTGCAGCACATGTGAAAAGTGCATGTGTATACCTGGAAACAAAGCACTGCTCAAGCCGCCTTGCTAGCTGCCAGTGCTGTAAGCTGGAGACCTAGTCAAGAGTACATTAAGGATTTGAGACTGCAGACCTAGTCACTGTCTTAGCTATACTCTGGCCTTTCCAGTCCTGAGAAGGTTCTGTAATATAGCAATCCCCAGATGTAGTCTCCCTGAAAGAAGTTTTGTGGTCAAATACACTGAGGAAATACTGCATAATTTAGACCCCTTTGAAAGATGCACAACACATATTGAAGTAATAAAAGCTCCGAGAAGCCTCGAAGCAAAGAAACGTGTTTATCCCAATGTGTTCTAAACTAATTTCACCATGAAATCCTTTCAGTGGGTACTCATTAGCACCTCTTTAGAATAATCAGCTTCCATTTAGAGAGAAGTTTGGTTAAGGCCTGCCTACCAAGTGTCCTTCAGATTAAGTGCTATGCCTACTCCCTGGTGGCTTTATTGGGTATGAGGTCACTCGGCTATTTTCATTAAGTTAACCTCACAATTCAGGTTCACTGTCACAGTGCTCTTGATTTTTTTTTTCATTATGTTTAGAATACTGGAACAACACAGCTTGCCAAAATTTCAGTTATAAAGGATGCTTTTATAGCAAATTCCAGAAGCTGGAAAACGAACTGTACAAGTTGGCACCAAATATCATTGTTCATGAGAAATGAACTATTTGATAAATTGTAGCGACAAAGGAGTATAAGGACCTTTAGAATTTTTTAACACTTACGAAATCAATTCAATTAGTCACTTCCATTCATTCTCTAAGTTGAAGTACAACTTTATATATATCAATTACCATGATACAGTTTTAGATAGAGCGTTTCCTCAACTTCTATTTCTCTACCCTCGTTATTATTTCCCAAATCATGACAGTAGTATAGTCCTCCTATAACAGTTATAAGTTTAACTTTCTGCTATTTAAATGTATTATGATGTGGTAGGTATAGGTAAAGGTAGAAAATCTAGTGTCATGCTGGAAATGCAACTTATTTTTTTCAAAGATGTATTTATTTTATTGCTAAGTCAGCTATAGAGAGGAGGAGAGTCAGAGAGGAAGATCTTCTGTGTGATCATTCACTCCCCAAGTGATTGCAATGGCTGGAGCTGAGCCAATTGGCAGCTAGGAGCCAGAAACTTCCTCCAGGTGCCCCATGTGGGTGCAGGGTCCCAAGGCTTTGGGCCGCTCTTGAATGCTTTCCCAGGACACAAGCAGGGAGCTGGATGGGAAGCAGAGCTGCCTGGATTAGAACCAGTGCCCATATGGGTTTATGGCATGTCAAGGCTAGGACTTTAGCCATTAGGCTATCATGTCCGGCCCTAATGATGTATTTATTTTTATTGAAAAGGCTGATTTACAGAGGGAGAGACAAAGAAAGGTATCCTATGTACTGGTTTATTCCCCAGTGGTTGCAACGGCCAGAGCTGAGCAGCTGGGACATGAACCAATGACCATATAGGATCCCTGCGTGTGCAAGATGAGGATTTAACCAACTGAACCTTTGCTCCTGATCCACCCTGTGAGTCATAGAGGACGTTTGACTATGAAAGCCGCTCTCTGCCTTTGCCTCACTCCATGACCCTCCCTCTCCACTCACATTGCCAATGGTACTCTTCTCATCAGAGGTCAAACCAGTGCAGCCACTTGGTCTTGGGCTTGAACCGGTTAAACTGAGCTAGGTAAACATTTTCCCTTTGTGAAGTTAGCTTCCTCTGACATTTTGTTGTAGGAGTGAGAACCTCAGTAACATAATAGCTGAGCTTTCTTTAACTAAAATTGTTGTTTTTGCTGGAATGGGTAAGGGTTAAAGTACATGAGTATAAGCAACTAGTACCTGACGCTGGGTATATTGAAGAGTTAGGCAGCCTACATTTCTTTCCTCCATTTCATTCTTTATTTCCATCTTTCAGAAATCTCATCTGGGTTTTTCTGAAAAACTAATTCCACCAGAAGAAGCAGCTGTCTGTAACCATTTATCTAATCCTTTTTCCTGAGGCAAAGGTGCTTATGCTTCAAATTCCAGCATTGCCAGGAAAGAACCCCCTACTGTAGTAACACACTAATCAGTAATTGCCAATAATTTTATTCTCAAAGAAACATACCACATTGTGTATTAACCTTACTTTGTAAGATTTTAAATTCAACCCCTGGAGCAGTGCCTGTGTAATCAAAGCTCAATTGCATCAGAATCACATAATCACATAAAAATGCAGAGTCCTGAGTTTTGCCTGAGACCTGCAGTCTGTGTACCCAGAGCTGCGGGATCTGTATGTTGATTGTGGATCCAGCAGGCCTGAGTGGATCACCTGCGGAGAGTCTCCATGTTGAGAATGAATCCACTTGCAGAATCCTGGACCGGTGGGGTTGGGAGTAGGTGTGTATCTTTGTCTACAAGGAGCCCCACAGGTTCCTGAAGAGCCCCGAGGGTTGAAAATTACTGCACAGACAGGTGAAAGGAGAAATGAGCATTGAGACTGATTTCATCTTGATTTGTTGGGGTATTGTTTGTTCATCTGCAGAAGTCAGACTGGGAGAACACATTAACCAGATTTGGAGTAATTATTGGTGAAGAATGGGAAAGTGGTGTGAATAGGAGATTGAATGCCATGACTTCTTGGCATAAAAAAAATGGTTCTTCATAATACTTTCATGACCTTAATTCTGAACCCTGGCTACTCTTCAGAACCCTCCAAGATTAAGGTTTTATAAAACACCAGAGCCTGGGCTGTCCTCCAGAACAATTACATCAGAATCCATGAGGTGGGGCCATGCATTCTACTTATTTTCTTTTTGAAAGATTTATTTATTTTATTGGAAAGGCAGATGTACAGAGAGGAGGAGAGACAGAGAGGACGATCTTCTGTCTGATGATTCATTCCCCAAGTGGCTGCAACGGCTGGTGCCGTGCCGATCTGAAGCCAGGGGCCAGGAACTTCTTTCCGGGTCTCCCACATGGGTGCAAGGTCCCAAGGCCTAGGGCCATCCTCGACTGCTTTCCCAGGCCACAAGCAGGGAGCTGGATGGGAAGTGGAACTGCCGGGATTAGAACCGGTGCCCATATGGGATCCCGGAGCATTCAAGGTGAAGACCTTAACCATTACGCTGTCTCGCCGGGTCCGCATTCTACTTATTTTTAAAAACTACCAGGGTGACCGGATGTCAGTCATCCAGTGAACACCATTGCTCCATGATACATGAGAATCTATTGTTGACATCACAAGCAATTCATGTTCTCTTCTGGACAATTGGAATCTAGGTTTAAGAGGGATGGGAATGACTGCTTGAAGCTACCCTTCTGTCTCTTACTCCTACTTCTTCAACAGCTATCATTAGGATGCACTGTTTTATTTATGATAGACATACTGTTTAGTTTTGACACCTGCTCTGTTCTCATAATTGAAAAGCAGGATATTTCATAGAGCAGATATTCTCTACATACCCTACAAACTTGTTAGCTAAAGTTGGGGGTAGGAAGTGGAGATGAGGATAGTATTTGGGATTTTATGATTCATTGCTTGGCAGCCATATCTAAGACAGTCAAGTTTCTGCACTTTGTGAACTGTGGGGGTTAAGAAATTGGGTGAGCCCAGTCAGTTGTTTCCTGACACTAGCAGGAAATTAATTACACATTATGCAGAGGCCTTAAAAGTTGTCCATTAGTGCAGGCTATCCATACCCATGTCACATTTCTTCTACTTGACTCCACAAATTCTCCTGCCTTTTAGCCCTCTTACTCCTCAAGAGTTTGACATGATCCGACACAGGGCTGGAGCATCTTGGCAGAATGAGACGCGATGGTCAGATGCCTCTGTGACAACGTACACAGGCAGTTACCGGGAGAAACATCTGGATAAGTTCACGAGCAGCCGATTTTCTTTCAGAGCATTGCAGAATGGGCCTAAGTTGAAACAGTAAGATTTCTTCCTTTTTTTTTTTTTTTTTTTGAGCATGGATATGTCACTACAAATCGAGAGTGTTGTTGGAAGAATGAGGGTATTGTGGACCTTGACAGAAGTCGCAGATTTTAGCACTATTTTCCTGTAGAAATGTCAGTGAGAAGGAGAATTAGATGTCAGTTACCAGGTGAAATTATAATTCTATTCTTCACTTGGGATTCCTAATCGTCTGTATAGCACCCTGCCACTGAAAGGTGTTCGACCAAATGATTGTTTCTGTTCTTGAGAATTTAATTTTGTTTCTTGGATAGTGTTCCTACTTTCAGAATTTGCAAATCTCTCTTGAAGGAGAAAGAACATCAGTTAAACTCTCCCCTCTATGGTTACTGATACATGTAAGTGTAGAGGGGTCAACAGACATTTTCTGAGTGCTTACTGGAAGCCAAGCCCTCTAATGGGTTCACAATTTAAAAATTAGTTTCAGTTTGATGCAGTAACTATAGAAATAAGTAATCAAGAACAGAGATTGCATTAGTGCCTGACAAAACGGGGAGTGCTGTATTTCTGGAAGGGTCTTGGTATAGCAGGTTTCCTCTGGGCTAGCTGGGGTAGCAGGTGAAGTAGGGAATAATCAAACACACTCTTGGGGAGAGAAGAGTTTGTACAGTGGCCAGGAAGAATTAACTCCAGCAGGGCACCAGCAGGGCACTGCAAGTGGCTCCTTGGGTTTGAGAAAGGAGATGTAAGTTGGGAATATGGAGAAATGCCTACCTATGTTGACCTCTGTCTTTATCTATATAGACTGATAAGTAACACACTCAAATTTTAGAAACATATGTGAAAAAATCAATTGGACTTTTGCCTCTAACTTAAACTGGGAGGAATAACTCACAAATCAGCCCAATAAAGATGATGCCTTGCAATTCTTTTCAAATCAGCAAAACACAGTGCTTAATTAAGGCTGAAATATCTTAGAACTGCTTTCCAGTTGGGCATCTAGTCTGGTTTCTTCTAACAAACGATACCCTCTACATTTTTAATAGCTTTCAAGTTTGTTAATGCATCAATTAGCTTTGGAAATCTCTTTGCTAATTCTGTGCTAATTCAAAGCAACTGTGACCCAGATATAGGGTCTTTAAGCCCCACTAGTGCCATGTCTGAGCATAGATAGTGTTTGAAAGCTGGTATCTAAACAGATCTATTCACCAAAAAAGAACAAGAAAGATATTTAATAACTCTGAAAAATGCAAAGTATGACATCTACTAAAATGTACATAATTTTAAAATTGTTCCCTATTCAAAGTGTGATCATTATATGCAATAGTCCAACACAGGGGTCCTGTTAATGTGGGGTTAGAGGGTCCTGAGCTGTACTTACTTCCGATTCTTGCCTCCATGTGACATAAGAATTAAAAAAATTTTTTATTATTATTGTCATTTTATGATACAGGTCCATGGGCTCCTGGGATTTCCCTTACCCCAGCCCCAATTCCCCTCCCCCTCACCTAGTTCCTCTATATCATTATTAAAGTATAGTTCTTCATACATAGTTGTATGTCCATCATTGCGGGCATGGATAATGGCAGAGAGTCCAGCATCCTATTGTCAAGATATAGTAAACAGTTTCATTTTAAGTCCATTTTTGTCTGGAAGTAGAGATGCATACTACATTGTATCCTCACATCTGGATATGTTAATCTCCATTTCACAGCTACTGTACATCCCCTTGAATGAAAAGTCACAAAACAAAATCAACAATAGGAAGAAAAATAGAAATTTACAATGCCATGAAGTTAAATAACATGCTACTGAATGATTAATGTATTGCTGAATAAATGAAAAAGAAAAGTGCTGTTCTCGCACTGCCCATCTGGGATCTGCTGCTCTGTCTCTACTTCTGGTCAAATCAAACAGACCAGCAGAACGGCCAGTTCTTTGTCTGGGTTAGCCTCCCAAGCTCCCAGTGAAAGTCCCTTCCCACCTGGCTGCTGATGGAGCTCAGGCTGTTGGTGGAGTTTAGATCTCCATTAGCTGAATGCTGCTGGAGTATCAGTCACTGCAACACCAAACCATTGTGTCCACTACTTTCCTGTGTCTGACAGTGTCCAGGTACCCCTCTGCTATTGTTCTGTCCTCTCCTATTTCCTGGAATGTGTCCTCTCTGCTTATTCTTGATTAAATGTTTCTCTGTCCGTTTAAACGTGTCCTTACCCTATTCTGCCATCTTGATTCTTGATCGTGACATAAGAATTTAAAGTAGAAAATGCAAATGGCAAGGATACAGAGAAAGGGAAAGTCTCATATACTATTGATAGGAATGTAAGTTAATGGAGCCTTTATGAAAAGCATTGTAGTTTGCTCAAAAAGCTAGATATAAAACTGCTATATGATCCATCAATCCCAATACTGTTAATAATCCAGAGGAAAGGAAACCAGGATGTCAGAGAAATATTTGTATTTTTTTGATGACTGCACCACTGTTTCCAACAAGGTATGGAGTCAACTTTGATGGTTGATGAATAGATAAAAAGCATGAGGTAACCTATGCAGAATGGAATAATACTTGACCATTAAAAAAAGAAATGAGTGCAGTCCTGTCATTTACAACCACACTGATGAGCCGAGAGGACATTATATTAAGTAAAACAAGTCAAGCACAGAAAGAAAACCACCCCGTGTACCCATTTACTTGTGAAAGCTTAAAAAGCTGATCTCAAAGAATGGAGTAGAACCGTGATTATCAGCATCTGAAAAGAGGAGGAGGAATGTGAGGGAGGAGAGATGACGGGTACATGGGCACAATTGGATGGGAGGAATAACTTCCAATGTTTTGCAGCACGGCGAGCAAATTGATTGAAAACAGTTCATTGTGTGTCTCAAAATAGCTAATAGGATGCTGAATGTCCCTCAAGCAAATGATAAATGCTCGAGCTGATGGACCTGCTAATTAATCTAATCATTGCATGTTGTATATATCCATTGAGATGTCACACTGTAACCCACAAATACGTACAATTGTATGTGTCAATTACAAATAAGCATGCATATATTAAATTCTCTTTTAAAAAAGAATTCAAACTAAAGTGCACATAGAGTATAAGAATGGGAGCCAGACTAGGGGCTGATACTCTCAAGTCCAGCCACAGGGTCACCTGGAGAGCGCATGGTCTGGGAGTGAGAGTGACCGGGGAGGGAAATAGTGGGCTCCTCCCTCTTGGGATGCCACTCACATGGGAGGGCACAGAATAACTAGGACAGGGGCTGGGGTGGCTAGACAGAGAGGCACTCAACAACATCTCTGAGGGCTAGACAGTTGAGCTGGTTTGATGGAACTAAGCTCCAATACCCTTTGACATTTACGAGAGCCAAATGGGATATGGGGCAGACTGAACTAGTCTGCTACACATACTGGTAACCAGGGCAGGGACGGGCCTGGTGGGGGTTATTGGGGGGTCGCTCTGACTAGGCTCCCACAGGTTTGTGTGAGGGCCGAGTATGTGATGAGCAGAACCAGGATAGACTGTAACACCCATTGGTTCCAGTGAAAGCCGGGACAGAAGATGGAACCAACCTAGCGATTGCAACCACCAGCTGATAAGGGACTGTGCCAGATCCTGTACTTGCTAGTACATATAGGAATCTGGTCTGGGAATGCCTCAAAGTTTCTTTGGGGATCCACTAAATCAAAACGGCGAACTTAGAGCCTTAACCAAGAAAAGACGGAAGATAGAACAGGTTAATCAACGACCACAGCTATATGTTGGCAGCGAAATACTGGGCAAATGGAGACTCTATGATGGACTATGTCAGTCAGTGGATTCTTCAACAGCCTCATCGTGTCTGGAGTGGCGAGATTGGCAGCAATGCATAACAGGTGAACTACTGGGACCACTTGAGCAAGGATCTCAGAACATGCCTACATCTGGGACATGGGGTGGGTGGGAGACTGGGTGGGGCTTCTCCTCAATATTTCCTTCAGCCCTTATAACTTTTACCCTAATCAACAATGTAAAGATTACCAAAATATAATAATAATAATAAAGAATGGGATCCAGATTTTTTAAAGCAGTGGAGGACACATGGTTAGAGGAAAATACAGGCATCTCCATTTAGCTGTTCTCCTTATTGGGTAACAGAGAGGCTAACAGGGTGAGATTTGGGTGGGATTCAGCGCACGTGATGTTCTCTGGGGAAATTTTCACAGCACCTTTTTGTGTAGCTCAGTTTCACATGACAGAGGAGGCTTAGGTTCATCATGGGAAGTTGGCTGTGCCGAGTTGGCCAGAGGGGTCAGAGTTAAGGGTTCAGGGTTACAGCTAGGGACTGATCGAAACCTCCTGGATCCTTTATTCTTTGCTAAAAAGCAAGAATTATAAATGAAAAGACACATTATGCTCAGGATGAAAATACTGATTCTATTCCATGTTTGCTTTTGTTATTCATTTTTGTCTGGGTTAATTTAAGCCCCAAGAAGCTCCAGAGGTGAACTGAGACAAAGAAGTGTCCGTTCTGCTGGTCTGTTTGATTTGAACAGGAGCAGAGACAGAGCAGCAGATCCCAGATGAACAGTGCAGGAACAGCATGGATTTCATAGTCCAGTCCACGCGCTAGAGCTATATCAGGTGTGATTTTGTTTAAGGAGGCAAAGGCTATGGGACAGTACTGCACATGCATTGAGCTGGGAGTGAATTCATTTTTGGCTTAGTGAACTGCAGTAATGCAGCATCCTGTAGGTTGTAGCCCAAAGACCTGATAGCCAGCAGATCAAGAACTCTAGTAGGGGCACGTCAGGCCCCGTTTTGTACAGTGAGGCAACAGTTTAGGACTGCAGGGATAACAGTGAACTGCGCATGGGCTGTACTTGTGAGAACTCACTGAGTTTAGTGTATTGCACTGGTCCCGCAGGAAAATAATACTGACTATTGCATTGTACAGGTCAAAATAGGTCTGTGTGACCCTTAGACCTAACGTCCAACAGGTTCCGGCAAGATCAGCACCACCAACAACCTAGCTATATAGGACACCTGGTATCTCCCTAATCCTGGGACCTGCTCCAACCAGAAGTGGGAGAAATGTTGCAGGGACAACAGTGAGTGCAACATCAGCACAGTATCACAGGAGGTGGAGACTGGTGAACCAGGAGCTGGGGCTATGGAGACCATGGTGGAAATCTAACGTAAGAACCCAGATCTGGAACTTGCTGGAGGGAGTGGCACAAGTGACTGCAAACAAAGAGCCATGTACCAATGGCAACAAGTAAAATTGAACTGTAGACCTGAGGTTGACAGAGCTTAAAAACCTGCCCCAAGGAGAAGTACAATGACAATGAGCAAAAGAAGAGACAGAGACACAGTGAAGACTCCCATGCAAAGGAGCAAACACTTTTGCCAACCTTTCAGAGTTAACTGAAGAAGACATCGAGAAAATGGGAGATAAAGAATTCAAAACACTTGTTATAAAGCTTCTTATCAACAAGAAGAAGCATGCAAAGCAGGCATTCAAGGAATTCAAGGAATATGTCACACTGGAAATGAATCAAATGAAAGCTGACCTAATAGAAATGAAGAATACAGTGGAGCAAATAAAAAATACAGTAGAGAGTCCCCAAAATAGAATAGATTGAGCCCCCACTTGGGAGGCCTGCATCGTTCATTGGCATGCCAGTTCAAGTCTCAGCTACCCTACCTCTGATTCTGCTTCCTACTAAGGTGCCTGGGAAAGCACGAGTGATGGCACCATTGTTTTCATCCCTGATATCCACCTGTGTGATGTGGAATTCCAGGTTCCTATCTTTGGCCTGGCCCCTCCCCAGATGTTAAATGTATTGGGGGATTGAACAAGCAGAAGGTAAGTCTGTCTCTACCCTTCTGTCACTGGGATTTACAAATAAATAATTAATGGAACATAAATAACTCAAATATCTAGCAATACAAAGACATTCAACATTTTTCCATAGAAAACCATGAAACATTGGTATGAGAAAAAAGGTGTAGTAGATAAACTATGTTCTTGGATTGAGAGACTGACTATTACAACAGTTATACACTCAGTGCTGTTCTCCTAAGTGTTTTGTGGAGATTTACAGCATTATTCTAAAATGTATATGGAAATAACGTGTAGACATTCTCACAAAAGAACAAGTTGGTAAATTTGTTTTACAGATAACAAACTTAATGTGAAGCTTCAATAATTAAGGTGGGTTTGCTTTATATCAACAAGATAGAAAATATATACCAGTGGAAGAAATGAAAGAGCACAGAAACCTATTCCTGTGTTATATAGGTACTTGATTTATGAAATAGCAGTAACAGAAAAAGGCTATGATATTAACTGTAGGTACACTGATTTAGATTCACAGAATATTTAATGTGGTGGTCAAAACAAAAATACTGTTACGAGGTAATGTAGGGAATATCCTGATAAACAGAGCACCCAAAATACTTACCACAAAAAAAAATTGTTATGACAATTGGAACACCTTAAAGTTAAATGTTCTGCTCAAGGTACATCAAGGTATACCATTAAAAGTAAGAAAAGGCAAGGCACAATGAGGAAGAAATTTCAACTCAGAGATTAGCAAAGGGTTTATACCCATATATATAAAATTCAAATAAAACTGAACTCTACAGACTCTCTGGCCAAGTTTAAGCTTTAAAATATCAATATTACTAAGTGTTGGTGAGTATGCAGACTAATGAGATTTCTTTTTTTTAACTAACAGGAATATATACTGACATAATTCCTCAGGAAGATTTATCTTTTAAAGGCGATATTTTGGATAGCCTTAGGCTTAGAAATTTTACTTCTAAGTATAGAACCAACTAAAATGCATGTGAAAGTGCATCTAGAAATATGTATGTGAACATTCATAGCAGCATTTTTCATTGTAGTCCCTCCCCTGCCCCCCCCCCCAAAAAACACCTTAAAAACAAGACATTTGTAAGTTCCTGTAGTCATCTTGCTGTGTTCAAGCAGGGGCCGGCAGGGTGGGAAAGGCGAAAGTTGGTTCCTGGAGCACTGTGAGTACCAAAAGACAGATGCTCAAGTCTCTCCTACAAAATAGTATAGTATTAGTTTATAACCTATGCATATCATTTTTATACTTTGAATCATCTCTAAGTTACAATATCTAATGCACTTTAAAGCTTATGTGAATGGTTGCACTGTAAATTTTAGGGAATAGTGGTAAGGAAAGTATCTATACATGTTCAATACAGACACACTTTTTTTTCTGACTGTTCTTGATCTGGAGTTGATTGAATACATGAATGTGGAACTCAGGGATGGAGGTTTATGATTATATTTATCTACAGCAGAATCAGCAGAATGCAGTGTTCATACTATTGGGATACTATATAGCAACGAATATGAACAAGCTTTGGTTACACACATAACATACATTTACACATATTGTTAGGCAATTTTAGCCAGAAAAAGCAGATACTGTGCTATTTCATTTGCATACACACACACACCCCCCAAACAATAGTGTCTGATCATTACAAAATATTCGGAGGAACCGGCACTGTGATGTAGCAAGCTAGTCCTCCACCTGTGCATCTGGCATCCCATATGAGTGCTCGTTCTTATTCCTACAGCCCCGCTTCTGATCCAGCTCCCTGCTAATGGCCTGGGAAAGTAGTAGAAAATGGCCCAAAGCCTTGGGGCCCTGTACCCAACCTCCAACTGGGCTAGCTGTGGCTATGGCGGCCATTTGGGGAGTGAACCAATGGATGTAGGATTTCTCTTACCTCTCTCCCTTTGTCTGTAATTCTGATTTTCAAATAAAAATAAATATCTTTATTAAAAAATCTAGAGAACATGATTTTCAAAACACAATGAAGACAAAGACATCAGGAACTTGGTCAACTGACCACCTGAATCAGAACCATGTGTCCGAAGACATTAAAAAAATAATCACCAGGATTGGACATACAAATCTGCATTTTAAAAATCAATACCCTCAGATGATTGCATTGCTGTTATGGGTTCAGAGAAGAAAGGTGAACAGTGGCCTGCAAGAGCCTGTTTCCAAGGTGGTTACAGATGGTCTGTGGTCTGACTGCATAGATAATGGAACATTTTAGGACTCTCCAGGCTGTCATCAATTTCCCTCCTCCCTTACCTTACATACGCAGTTCCAGGTCCCTGGAGCTTGGAGACGCCCTCTTCATCCAGGGGCTCTGAAACAACTACCAGCATCTGACATTCTCAGGGAACCGATGACTGTCCGTTCCACAGAAAACAACCTGTACTTGACAATAAGCTTGTGCTTTTTCAGAAAGAGGGTTATGTCTGGATTCACAGAAAAGGGAAACTGAGACCGAAATGTGTTTCAAAATGTTGACACAACATCTGTGAGTCCCCAAGTTACTCCACTGCTATTAAGTTTTATTTGGAAGCCAGCATAATTACTGTAATCTTTCTCATTTCATGCATAACACTTGTTTTGAAAACAACTCCCTTGAGAGACACTCGTAAAGCCTGTTGAAATAATTATAAACTTAATGTTTGAGTTTTCATGCACAGACGTTAAAAATGCTACCCTTTTATGACAAACTGGAGAACAAACAAATTACTAAGAGACAATGAAAAAGTCCAAACTTGAGTCGTTTTAATGGGATTGTGGGGTTACGGTTGAGAGGGTGGAAACAGGGAAAAAGAAGTAAAAGTATAAGACACAAAATGAAAAGCCGAGCAGAAAATCTCTCTCTTTTTTAATTTTATAGGCTTCATGGGATTTCAAAGCCAAGAACTTACTTCTATTTGTTTTCTTTAGCATGTCATCACCAAGCAGTTCGGCCAGCAGTTCTACACCCTGCCTCCCTGGAACCCAGGAAGCTATAGACGCTCAAGGTAAGCTCCTCCAAGCATTGCCTTCCACCGAGTTTCTCAGTCACATTTAGGTTCTTTTTTACCCTCATAATTACTGCAGGATGACTGACAAACAAAATGTATATGTTTAAGTTGCGCAGCAGGATATTTTAATATATGCATACAGTGCAAAAGAATTAAGAGCAGCAAACTAGTTAACACACTAGTCGTTTCATCTACTCTCACCTTCTGTGTGTGGAGGCTGGGGGTTGTGGGTAAGTGAGAACTCCTGAGATACACTTCCAAGTATACAATAGATCTTCATGATCCCTGGTTATCAGGTCATTAGGTTTCCAGAACTTACCCATCTCACAACTGCAAGTTGATGTACAGCCCCTGGTCACCATCATTCTACTCTTTATCTAAGTTTTTTTTTCTCTTAAATAAAAAAGGATTCATTCATTCATTTGAAAGGTAGAGTTACAGAAGAGGGAGGAAGAAAGAGAATCAATTTTTCACCCAGTGTTTTGTTCCCTCAAAAGACCAAATTGGCTAGGCTGAAGCCAGGAGCCTATAACTCCCTCAGTCTCCTACCTGGGTTCTGGGTCTCAAGTACTTGGGCCACATTCTGCTGCTTTCCTAGGAGCATGAGTGGGGAGTTGCACTATAAGTGGAATAGCAGGACTTGAACCCGGCACCTATTGCAGATGCCAGCATTGCAGGTGGCAGCTTAGCTCACTGTGCTACAAAACAGCACCATAAGTTTGGCTTTTTAAGAGTCCGTATAAGAAAGATCTTGAAAAGTTCATGACAAATGCACACAGAAAACTGCGTGAATTCCAGATTTTTGTACTGAAATGAGTTTGTTGTAAATGTCTAACTGGGAATCCGGCTTGAGGCACTATAGGAAGGATGAGATATCGATTTGAAAAGAGCTCCCATCAAAGCACTGTGAATTCTGATATAAGTTGAGGTGAAAATGATTATCAATTTTACAGTGAAGGTTAGGTAGAATAATAATGAAATTATCGATGCTTTTTGAAAAGTTGATGAAGACAGTGTTTCCAATGAAAGCATCTGTTTACAAATGGACAATTAATTTTAAGAAGGGGTGAGATGATGTTGAAGATTAATACTGCAGTGGCAAACTATCCACATCAATTCAGGAGGAAAAATTAATTTTGTTTTGCCCTAATTGAACAGGACTGATTATTAAAGCTGAAACAATACCCGGTACTGTATATATTTCCAACTGGTTCAGCTCAAATAATTCTAACTGAAAAATTGTTGTTTGAGCACATTGCCTGTTTGATGGGTGATAAAACTTGCATCCAGGTAAATTACAGACAGCAGCAGAGATTGCAATGGAACCTTTTAACAAACAGAATCAAGATTGGGAGGCACGTCTCTGGATAACTAGACTATGAGGTGAAATATGGCTTTTCCAGAACAATCCTAAAGACAATGCACAAAGCTAGGGCTACCAGGAGGTACAAATGGTCCAAACAAAGCAATAACAAAGCAGCCAGGAACAAAGGCCATGCAACGGTTTTCAGGGCGGGCAGAGGGGATATGCAAGATATTTTGCTTGTGTCTTGAGAACGTTAGCTGTACTTTATTGAGTTCTCCAGTGCAGCATCGCTCCTGCTCAATCCTATCATAAAGCAAGGGTAATTCAGTGAGACCCAGAGGTGTGTGCCTTCAGGCCTGATTTTGTTCTTTCCTCTCTCTTGTATCTTAAAAAAATTTTGAAGTCACCTAATTTCCTTCAGTTACTAATGTAAAGAAAACTTCATTGACATGGTTACATTCCCAGGATGTCGGGTTGTTTGGGGATGGGCTAACTAGCTGCTATCATCACTTGCAAAAATATCTTGAATTTGATGCAGATTGTATCAAGAAATACATTTAAATTTTCTTAAATACCGGTTTTTTTTCCTACAAACTGCTTGAGGTCACCTCCTATAAGTAAAATCAGGCAGCATTCCTCTTTACGTGCCTGGTTGATTTTACTTCGCACAATGTCCATCAGCTATCTCCTTTGATGTGTGTAACACATTTGTCTTATCGGCTCATTGGGGTTTTCTCCATATATTAGCTGTTAGGAGCAATGCTGCAGTGAACAGGAGGTTGCAGATATCTCTCAAACCTCTGTGTTCTTACTCGGAGGTAGAAGCGATGCATCACTACTATGACAACATCGGGGAACACGGTGAGAAGAGAAAATGGGGAGGAAGGCATAGGGAAGATGGAAAATAGTTATACTCTATAATGGAAAGCTTATGTAATTTTGTCATTTATATTAATCTAAAGATATATATAATGTTTTGTGTAACATGAATACTTGATAGTTAAATATGTGTTACTGACATGCCATTATGCTGCATGATCAAACTATATTTACATATAAATGTGCATGTATGTTTATACCGATGTATATGTAAAGTTAAATAATGCAATATTAAAGGATAACTATGTGTAAAAAAAAAAAAAAAGAAAAGGCATTCAGCATCACTGATCATGAGGGAAATGCAGGTGAAAGACATAGTGAGACATCATGCACACTGGGCCATGGCAAGAGCCAGGAACACAACCCAGGTCTCCCCCTGGGGAGGCAGGGATTGAACATTTCTTAAATTTCTGTCTTGAGCTTCTTGTTTTCTTCATGGATTGTTTTCCTGACCTTCTTTTTCATGCTCTTTTAGTTTTCTGTACTTCCTTAGTTATTTAAAATTCTTTCTCAGATGATTAAAAAAAAATCTAAATTTTGGTGTGTATGTTGGGGGGAGTTGCTTACTGTGCAGTTATTACATTTGGTGATGTGGTGTTCGGTTTTTCATTGTCTGTGTGGAGCCTTGAGTTGCTGTCTCCACAGTGGAAGGTGTGATCATCGCTGGTCTTCACTCACTGGCTTCAGGAGAGAGACATGTAAGAGCAAGCTCAGCTAGGGATTCCAAGGTCCTTTCAGAGTTTTTCTGTGAATGTACCACTCCACCCCTCTTTCTCCTTCTTTGACATGAATTCTTTTTGGGGGGGATGAATTTTTAAGATTGTCCTTCATGTTTTCTTTCTGTCACCCATGCTATTCAGTGGCACAATTTTTTTTGGTAGTGCTGTAATTTTGTTGTTGTTGTTATAATTCATACCAGTTGTTGACTTTATTTTGTGGCTTCTCATTTATGGGAATATATGTATAGTGATGGAGTAATGGAGACCACCATATCCACATGTGGGGATACAATTCAATAAGCATCCCTGCTTTCAAAGATAGACTCCCAATAAAACTGTTGGAAATGTAAGACAATGGGATGCTGGACTGTCTGACATTGTGTGTACCAGCAATGTCAGGGTACACTTAAATAACAGACTGATGGAATCATGACTCTTTAGAAAGAATATACTATTGTAGCAACATGAGGAAAATCTGTTGCGGGGGTGGGAGTTAGGGGAGGAAACACAGTCTCTATGAAATTGTACCATGAAATTCAAATATTCAAAATTAAAATTTAAGAACAGCAACAACAAAAAATGATTGTCATTCCTCTCACAATACCAGAAAGCCTATTTACTTTCCGAAGGGTGATGTCCCCAAATGCTCAAATTTGTATCCTTTCTTCCAGTCCAGTGAAGTTGGGCTGTCTGTGAGTGCTGTCTAGAGAGACCCACACTTGCTGTCCCTGGGGGTGCATACATAAAACTGGCCATTGGGGGGGTGCAATAAGGTACCTGAAGCCTGGGGGTTGGGTGCCTATGGCTCAGTTAGGGTGGTCTTCAGGTGAGGATCCCATGCAAGTCATGGGAAGTTTTCCAGATAAGTCCCGTACGCTGTAAGTAAGATTCAAGGTGCTAGGGGCCAACACGATGGCTCATCTGGCTAATACTCTACCTTCAAGCGCCGGCATCCCATAGAGGTGGCAGTTTGTGTCCTGGTTGCTCCACTTCCCCAACCAGCTCCCTGCTAATGGCTTGGGAAAGCAGTAGAGGATGGTCCAAAGCCTTGGGACCCTGTACCTATATGGAAGACCTGGAGGAAACTCCTGGTTCCTGGCTTCAAATCATCAGCTCAGCTCTGGCTGTAGTGAACATTTTGGGAGTGAACCAGTGGGTAGAATATCTTTCTGTCTCTCCTATTTCTATAAATCTGTCTTTCTGATAAAAATAAATAAATAAATAAAAAGCCCAAGGTCCTGGTTGTGGTTCCAAACCCTGGTGGCTGGAGATTCCTGGCCCTGTTCCCTGTGCAAGCCCTCAGCTGTGCTGACAACCACAGTGTTCCGAGTGGCATGGACATGAAATGGTCCTCTTGGGCAGTTTCATATGTCTGCAGGAGGCAGACACTCAGACACTCACTTCATTTTTTTGCACCATGAAAAATTGTGGCTCAAGGGGATGAGCTGTGCTGCTTTGGAGAAGGAGCGATCTGGTGAAGTTTCTGATTGCCTTTTTCTGTGTGTTTCTTTCGTTTTATTTTAGATGATGTTTATAGTCAATCAGGGTGGGAAGGATCTAGGGTTAGGGAGAAGTGGGTGTGATCATTGTTTCCAAGCTTTCTATTTCTTCTTTCCATTTCTTGGGGGAGGGGAAGTAAGAGGGATAGGTCATACTCAACCTTCCAACCATCTCAGTACCTAGGGATTGGGAAAGGTCAACTGATATCAACCCAGGGTTACAATGTGGGTTCATCCCAGCTAGATGTGATAGTTCCAAAATGCTGTCGCTCTTGCTAATCTATGGATGAGGAATCCCTTCCAATGTCCATTGGCTGGTATCCCTTTTGGAATTTTCACTCCAGCAAGGTGTTGCACACCTGGACTCTCTCAAAGATACCCTCTCAGGAATGGCTAGTTGTTAGAACCCTTCTACTCTACCTTCCTACCTCTCTCCTCTCCTTTCAGGTTCTTCACTGTACACCATGTTACTTCCATTTGTCTACTAAAGGCAAGGTGAATTTTGCTAAGTAAATAAATAAATAACCATACTGCGTTCTGGATATATTATGCACTCACAGTTAGTTCAGGGCAAAAATATCCCTCCTCCCTATT